TGGTGATGAGCGATGAAGCAGCCACAGGAGGGCGCTAAGGAGCACAACACAAAGCTGTTTGCTGAATATTTCTTACAAGCAATTTGAAACTTATCGGAACAAAACAATAAAATAATTTAACTAAGCTTTAACTTCATCTCTTCTGAAAATTATTTTTTTGATTGCAAAACTTTGACATATTGTGTGTTTTATTTTTGTGTGTAACTTAATTTTTTTATTATCCTTTTCTTGTTTTGATTGCTCATCTTTTACTTTAAATTTATTATTCTGACATGAAGGTTAAGTTTCCATCTGTGTTTGTTGGTTAATTAGTTATTATGTCAGCCAAAGCTACACATGAGCATGAAACTCTCACTCTTATATTTCCAGAAGAGATGTTTTTCTTTCTGCAAAGCACTTTTTAACTTTATTCAGAAGAGTTTTATAAATAGTTTAATATTCTATATTTCCAGCACACCAACCTTAATGAAATAAAGACAAATGCATGTATTTGTGCAACAGCTTTTGTTCTTATTAGTTCATAAGTCAAATGTATTTATGAGGAGGGCAACACAAGCATGGATAAAAGATAAGATGTGCAATGTTAGAAATAAAGACAACAGAAAAAGGCGTAACATTAAAAAGGAAAGGAAAGGAAAATTACAATAGTCATGAACAGAAACATGAGACAGACTAAAGCGGAATCAAAAGCAAGATTCAAAAGGCAGAACTTTAGAATTATGGATAATGAAGCTGGACCTGATGCGGAGAAGGAGACTGTTCCAAAGCTGGAAGAATTCCACAGAGAAATCTCCATCTCCTGTAGTTTTCAGACTTGAAATGAGAACAGAGAGGAGTTGTTGTGACCTGGTGGGGGAAATGAAAACAGAAGGTCGCTGATATAACAAGGAGAAAGGTCATTAAGGGCTTTTAGACAATGCAGAGTCAGGAAGTGGCAGAAAATAAGAGAGAGGTAGAGTAGAAGAGGATTTGCAGCATCTTAAGCCCAGAGAACAACACAGTGATAAAGACCTGCAGGAAGAATCTCTGTTCTTCTTCACTATCGTTCTTTGAAACGTTAGATTGCGGTGAGTTTTTTTTTTTCCTCCAGTGCAACAGAACAACAGTCTGCTCTCCATCTCCATCCAGCACCTGTCAACACTCGTGCCAGACACAAAGTGGGGGAAGCGAGGAAAAACAAAAACACTGCATCCGTCGTCATGGAAACCAGGATCATTTTCCTGCTCTGCAATTTTTTTTTTATTTTTGCCAACGAGCTCAGTCACGATTGTTGTTTTTCTTACTTTTCTCTCTTGTTGCATTAAAACAATTCATCATAGTTTCCATCGAGACTGAGCTCTGTGCAGAGGACGCAGACGCTATTTGTGGATGTTTTTAATGGAAGCTGTGCAGAGGTGATGTTCCAGGCTGCAGCTAAAAATGGAAAACCTTTGGAAGGTTCACGATGGAATGATGGAAGGCTGTCCATCACTTCACAGTGGTGGACGTGGACGGACGCCATTCAGCAAAAAAAACAAAACACAAAAGGTTCAGAAACTCTCAACGCTCAGAATATTGTTTCTTTCTTGATATTTTACTTTGTTTGTACAATAATAATGTCTGTTCCTTGCATCGGCACATAAAATATAACAATATGTCCGATGGGAAAACATTGTGTGATGCAAGCATAGCTCAGATAATCAGATTTGTTGTATGTGATTATTTCGATAATAGCAATCTTTCCACTTCTGATGCAAATGTCGAAATCCATTGGTTTTAGGTAAAAAGGGTAAAAAGAAGTATAATCTTTTTCACAGCAGTTATGAGCTTCACAGCTGCTTGCTCAGATATTCTCTGCATATGTGTGTACATCTGTATACATTTGCTTTTTTATACTGTTGTGAGATATCGCTGATACATTGACAATAGTAGAAGACCTAACACGGATCCCTGAGGTACACCCTGCATCGCTCTTAATCTTTGTAAGATAATAAAACCAGATTGATGTAGTGCTTCTTTGTGTCTTATTATCTTGAGAATAAAATACCATTAATCACTTTACAGATGTAGATTTTATTACTTTTCAGATTCTCCTTGACAGAATTTATTCTATAAAACCGGGTGACAACCATTTTTCCAGAACAGCACATTATCTCATTAAAGTACAAAAAGATGCATTATGTGATTTACTGGTGTAAATGAGCCATAAATGTAAATAAATAGAATCTTTATGAACTGCATTCTCATGCTCATATCTGATCGTTAAACCAAAGTACAAGTCCATGTTGCAACACTTTAATGTTTAACTACAGCTAATCCATCAACTAGACGCCCAGGTATTGTGAAATCTGCTCTTATTCTGCGATGGTGGCTTGATGCTGACTCTTATAATTACACCTCCGTCAGTGTTTTGTTTATTATGATTTGAGTCTCTCGGCACATTCTTCGCTGCAGGGTTCAAACATTGGCAGCGCAGCACCTGTCAGGGACCACCTGTAGAGTTTTATGAAGCACTAAAACATTTTTCTGATATGGCTTCAGTGATGATTCCTGTTATCAATTAGCATTTGTGTTATGGAAGTCATTCACTAAATGGTACCAGTGCACCTCCGCCTCCATCCGGGCTCACTGAAATCTCCTGTGTCTCTGTTTTTATGCTGCCAAAGTGCAATATTGACGCATAAACGTGCTGTTTCACCCCTCAATTTTCTTTATTGCACTTGTGCTGCGTCCAAGGATAGCATTTCTTAAGTGCACTGTAACTACTTGACACACATGCACACACACACACACACAAAGCACACCTGGGGAAACATTCCTCGAGGGAAGTCATCAATCAGTTTTATGGCTTTCTCTGGGAAAGTTTCCTCCTCTCCAATCAAGCATCTTCTCTCCCTCCCTCCGCCCTCCGACTCTATCCTCTCTTATATTTCCATCTGTATCAGTTTTGCCTCACATCTGAGAACGATCCACTGCGGCCAATTAACTTCAACCATTATTCCTATTCCACTGAGGGATAATTGGAGCAAACTGGAGGGTGAGTTCTCTGCCTGGACGATATGAGACGAGGCTACTGCGACCGGCTTCTCGCTGGATCCTCAATTTGGCTGCCAGTGGTAATAAAACTGAGGTGGAGGAGCTGCACGGTGTAAAAACAATGCCCTAACAAGTCGTGAAATGTGGAATTGAGTTTTAAAATCCTAGTTGCCTTTCTTAAAAAGGGAAAAACTAAAAAAGTCCATTTGATTTAGTATTTTCTCCAGAGCCTGGAACCACAAATACAGTTAAATGGTCTATTTTGAGATAAATTCTGACACTCGGCTCATCGTCAAGTGACTAATATGCTGCCAGATCTTTTATTAAAGGTCCTGAAAACATATTTATCTTATCATGAGCACTGGGATCATGCAAGGACACTATATTTTCTGCTGTAGTGTGTGTGTATGTGTGTGTGTGTGTGTGTGTGTGTGTGTGTGTGTGTGTGTGTGTGTGTGTGTCTTCTCATTGTTTTTAAATTGCTCTGTTGGGAAAAGAATTCAGGATTTTTTCAAAACTGCAGAGATGGTTTATGTCATTTTAAGAATTTCTGGCCAGGTAATGGAAATAACACAACGGAATCAAGTTATTATTCAAGGCAGAGTATTTTCACATATACACATTTATATATTTATATAAGCACGTCTGGAAGGAATCTTTTCACTTTGATTGTTGCTATATAGCCATATAGGAGTAAGCAAAATTACCATTATATTTATTTAAAAATAATATCAAAATGTAAAATGTACAAAAAGACATTTCATGCTGATGCATTACTATTGTTGGTGCATGCAATTTTATCTTGTTAATATTTGAACAAGCTGACAGTGAGGGAGCATGAATTTTGACCATTAACAAACAAAACTGAAGTATTGTTATTTGTAGAATGTACTTGAAGTTTATGTGTCAACCTTATAAATTACTTCGAAGTGCTCACTGCAGAAAATGACCCTGAATGCACAATTTTTACAAGTGCATATACGTTTTGTTTGTAAAGTCTTCATCTGCAAAGTGACAAAGTTTAGGTGTCAAACAATGTTGTAACAAAAAGTAATATTGTAGGGATAGCACAAAAACATAAAATAAACCACTAAATAACTTGTACTCAAGGACAAATGTCCCTATTACCAGAGAACACGTTCTTCTCAAAGATATTAGTTCGAACTTGAACATGCTTAAAATGTCTTCAACTGTATATTTTCTTTAAAAATAATAATTTGGACATATACAAGGTGCCTCACTGGTGCAATGGGAGATTCATATTGAAAATGACATTATTGGACTTTGGGGAAACATTTTGTCGCGTGACATTCTTTGGAAAATAGATCTGGCCCATTTAATATTTTTTATCCAAAAAGATGAATTAGTTGACAGGTTATATCGTCTTCGGTTATCAAAGAAAGGCGCCATGGAAATATTTTGAACCTGAATTCAATAAAACATCATCACCCACTCTCATGGAGTCCTAGTTTTACTGTGATGGATGTGTTTCGGTGGATGTGCCATGTGAGCCGCTTTGGCTGAGGTGCGCCGTGCGTCAGACAGGATGTGGCTCTTCTCTCTCTCTCTCCTCTCAGTTCAGTTATAAGAAGAGACACCTCCTCCCTGCTGATCCCGTTAATTTGTCTCCCTCACCACGTCCCCCACCTCCGCTACCCCGCGTGTTGCCCCCTCTCGGTACACTCTCACTGCGCTCCTTCCTCTGCAGACGAGCCGGAGCTAGATGTCCCGGACACTTGCTGCTGCTGCTGCTGCGCCTCTGGCACCGCGGGAGCAGAGGACGTTGAGGAGCAGGAGAATCAGTGGGAGGCACATGGTGAGAACCGGTGATTTATCTTATCCTCTCCTCTCTGAAATATTCCCTCTTGGCTCAGGCGCATGGAGAAGCTCGGGTGCTGGTGGTGAAGTTCATGTCTGCGCTGGAGTCGCGCGTAAAGAGGCGCAGCGGGTGTGATTTTAGCGGCGGTGTTGTGACTGAAAACAGAAATTCAAAGTCACGTATCAATGCAGCAGAATGTGCGTTCAAATAAACAGAATTACAGGAACATTTAGGAATGAGCTGCGTTTTGGATCTTGTATCCTGATTTAACAAATGGATGAAGTGTCCTGACATTTGTTCTGTTACTGCTGCTCAACGTATCCTGAGAAAATCAGCCTTTAGACTTTGTAACTAACAAGTGTCCTTATTTCTTGTAATAATTCATATAATATATAGAGGCAATTTGAAGTTTAGTATAATGTTTTTAACAAGACTTTTAACTTATTAAACCTCGGGCCGAATCGATACGTTTACTTAGGCTTCATTTATGACCTTAGTTAATGGATTCCCTTAAAAAAAGATAGAAGCTTTAATTTAAAATTCACTTTTTCAATTTAAAAACCAGGGCTGTGTTTTAACTCGGATATTTCCCCACACAGTCAGTGCGTGTTGCCGCCGGGATAATCCCACCTTTACTATGACAATTGTAATCAATCATATTTAACAATGTAAGAACATATTTTGGTCTTTTGTTTCTTTCTGTTGTGGGTCAAATGAAAGCCCAAATTCAAAAACACGAATTTTGAGCCTCGCTCGACAATATCAGGGTTTTTAATGATCTCCACTGATCTTGGAATAATTTCATCTAAATCCAAACACATGCAGCTAATTATCAAAATTATTATTTATAAAAAAAAAAATCAGATTGAACTCGTTTGATTAAGCTGCAATAACTTCACTCTGTAAATATTATTGTCCCTGCAGCAGAGAGCTCGTCGACTCTCTGCTGCCTAATAAGAGCAATTAGCTGCGGATTGGTTGTAATTAGTCTGTTACTACTCCTGCCAAAGTAATCACACTAAACATGACAAACATTTCATGCATAATCAACCGTGGCAACGTGAATCATTATTCCCAGCTCCAGTAAACGTAGCATCCGCAAAACCTGCGGGCTGTTTAGTGTTTTTAAAAAGTCTGTGTGCGGTTAATTAGTTTTCTTAAGTTCCCTCTGCAGCTCTTGAATTCAAGAGAAAATACACAGTGTTTCTCTAAGTAGATATTTTTACTCCTTTCAATTTAGTCAAGGTGATTATTTATTTTGCATGTGAGGCCTTTAATGCATTTGTGGAAATCAATTAAAACATTATTTTGTGTATTTCTCTTAATAATCCTATGATTATTTTTAATAATTACAAAACAGACATAAAATAATAACAGCTTTTGTATCTTTTTTCATATTTTTGGTTGACGCCTGTTCTTCTTCATTATCATTAACCTGCTCTGTGACACAGTGTGGATTTAATTGTCACAACCAGAGGCCTCACTTTTATTTCCATCACGCCCGAGGTTGTCTTTGGCGCGGCTGGAGCCCAGGATCACAATGATTTCATTTCCATCTGTTTTTCAATATCAACATGTGAAGCTGGGGCCGCGCAGAAAAGAAAGAAAGAGAGAAAGACTCCTGCCAACTTGTATGAGGCTATAAAGAGGAGGAGGAGGTGGAGGAGGTGGAGGAGGAGGAGGGGGGTGGACAGGAAACTTAAATATCAAGTGGGTGACATGTGTTTTCTTATTCAAAAAAAAAAAGGAAGCAAGCAGCGCTCATGGGTCAACGCAGAGGCAGAGGTGCAGAGTGCGTGTACCCGTGGAGGTGCAGTTGGCCCCCAGGGGCCCCCCCGAACGTTCACCAGGTTTGATGGTGATGCGAGCTTGAAGGACAGAGGCCTTTATCTAAAGATACAGGCAGCGATAATCCATTTTGTGCTTGTGTGTCTGTTGCTTCCACCTCCTGGGCTGCCCCACTAAAATTAGATTATTACACCTAAAAGCGAGCTCCTGGAATCTGCTCCATGTGGAATAACACACACACACACACACACACACACACACACACAACTGTGCGGACAGGAATGCAGTTTGGGAATACAGACCGCATACGTAGCCTCTCTCTTCTCACCCAGTGTTGTATTTCTGACCGGCTGAGGACAATTGCAAATTAACAAAGGTGTCAGTGTGGTAACATGCACCAACAGGTGCCTTGGTTTGACTTCAAACACGCGGGCTGTAAGAGAGGGCTCATATAATTGATCGTATTTATTTAAAGGCTCCGCGTCTTGAAGCAGAGTTGCAGCGTAGAACCCTGGGAAATCTTCCCAGCGACTATCACCCAGATATAAAACTCTCTTTGCGTTGTTTGTTTATGTAAAAAGCATAACTTTTGAAGTCATCGGGAAGTCGTAGAGCGATTTGAGTTTTAAAATGTTCGTCTCCGTCCTGCTCCGCTCCGCTCATGGCTGGACGAAGCTGCTGGCCATGACGAGGAATGTTAAAATGTGTGCGACGGGCCAAATCTAGCTCATCTGCTCGGCAGAACAGCTCCAGACACAGACAGGCCCACAGCTCCGAAGTGTGAACAGACCATAGCGAGTTAACAGGTAGGAGGAGAGAATACCACACATCGGAGGTTCTTAACAGAGAAGTTCCACAATTTAAGGCTTAATTTCAAGCTAAATTACAAGAAATAAATGTTTAGTAACAGAATAAAGCTTTAACAATGTGACTATGGCTCAAAGACAATGATAAAATCCCATGTTGCTTTAATTTTTCTTTTAATCGTAATTGTGTAGTTTTGTTGACCTTTTCCTCTTAGATTCTCGCGGCGAGCGTTCAACATAAGGTATGCAGTCAAGAATAAATTTAGAAACAAACATAACTTACAGACAAAGTTTTCACAGAGTTTTCTAAAATGCACATTCGATCTGTTAAACGTTGCAAGAATAAAAATCAGAGTACACAAATTCTTTCTCTAAGTTCCTTCTTTTTTAAAACAGCAGAAACGACATCAACATTTTGACACCTCAATTTAATCAGACGATTAAATGTCTGCAAAACGACAACTGAGCGAAGGCGGTTTACGTGAGGAAATGTAAACCGTCTCCAGCTTCGAGCACGAACATGAGCGGCGGTCTCCTCGCTCCTCTCTGTTCGACTATGCTGTAAACATGCCCCCAGGTTGTCAGCAAGTATTTTTCCAGCCACTTGCCAGCCAAGCATAGCTGCTTCTAAAGATCACCCGCCAGAGATGTTGTTGATCTCATCATACCACTATTTGATTGTATAAGCTTTTTAAAATGAAAGATATTTCGTTTTTCTAGACCTCAATTTGGGAAGGAAAACGGGATGATGGTGTCTTTTGCACATTTGTTATTTGTCGTCGATATTCAGTATCTTAATGAGATGAGTGGTGTAAAATACCCCTGATGTGTTGGTTTTAGATTCTCGTCTCGTCAAATGACACTTTGCGGGGAATGCCGCTCATCTTCAGCATGTTCTTCCGTTTCCCTTGCCGTGTGAATTTATGGAAAGCGACAGAGAAAAACAGTTGAAACCATATCCAACGGGTTACAGTAGCAGCGCCAGACAGATGATCCTGTTTCAGAAGAAGAGTGAGCCGGGATTTGGCCTGGTGGGGCGCATTTAAAACCTCAGGGGCCTCTCTGGGATGAGTGTCCATTTATCAGAGTGGTTGTAATGGGCCGATGTTTAATTAGACATGTAATGTGACAAAGACAAGAACAAGTGCATGTCATGGGAATGTTAAACAACCTCCCCCCATTCTCTCCCAGCCGCTCATGATTCACCCACCACAACCCTGAGGCCTTCCTCGCTTACGCTCACTTATCATTTCCCACCTCGAGTTCTGTAGGTCCACTCTTCAATCCTCCAGAATCCTCTAATAACCTCCAGCCCGCCCATATCTCCTCTGACACCATCTTCCCCAGAAAAGACATTGCCACCGAATGAAATCAGAGACCCAATTAATCACCCGATCATCTTAGAAGTCCTGCTTTTTATCAGTGCGTTCAGATTCCCGCGGGACGTCTCGACGCGTCAGGAATGACCAGCCGAGGCATTCTGGACCCCAGGAATGTGGCTCATGCAGCGGCATCGGGGTCAAAGTCGGACCGCTCATCGCCACACTTGTTCCTGCAGCAACTTCACAAAAGAGTTGGGGTTTGATCTTACCTTTCAACTCAGTCAGGTTCAACTGATTCACTTTTGTTTTCTTCTCTTTTGGACGGCAAGGACAGAGCGGTTTGTTCCAGGGGCAGCAGAGGGTTATATTCTCCTCGCAGGCCCCTCAGAGCTGTGTGGTCCCTGAGGGAAGCCTCATATTTCGGTCGTCGGCTAATTGAGCGGGATGACGAGGCTGCAGAGGCTCTCTGCCCCGTCCTCTCCTACGGGTTTGGTTTATGCAGCCCTGCTGACTTTGCTGTCAGTGTCAAACGCTTGTTAGGACATCATCAATCTCCAAGCAGTTAAGAATATTCCCAGACCAGAATGAAGGGGGCAGGTGATAGATGGACGGGGAGACGGAAGAGCAGGGGGGGAAACGTTGCTTGAAAATGCGGAAAGGACGGCAGTTATTGATGAGAAAATGACAGTCCTCTTAGGAAGGAAAGAAACAAGAATGTGTCCAAAATAATGAAGGTGTAAAGTGTTAAACTTTCTTCGCATGAAAGCAGTGCCTCTAGGGAATGTGCCTCTGGGCTTAGTGTGAGTTATTAGAAATAATAAACAACTGGTTTCCGCAGAAAGTAGATTCATTGTTCATTGCCAAAATTAACGCTCCCAGCTATGAAATCTTGACAGAAGAATAAATTACTCTCATCAGCGGTTGTAAGAGACGGGAAGGGATTTGTTCGAACTGCGGGCACACACAAGTCCAGGTTTGTCTTCACCACGGAAGTCTCCATGTAGGGGCTCATGTTGAACACCCATTTCGATCTATAAATCATTTCCCTCCAATCCAACCGCTAATCTCCCAACTCCTCTTCTTCCCTCCCCTCTTTTTCTCCCCGTCTGTTTTCTCATACCCTCTTTTCTGCTCGATAACCTCTGGCACTCGGCCCCCTCGCTCGCCTGCAGCACTGACCAACGGTAAATGATTTGAAAAGGAGAGCCATAAACGTGATGGATGTGGTCCAGCCCGGAGTTTAGCCCCAGCTGTCGGGCATGTTTTTTGTCATTTCAGACAGACCCGCTGGTTGCACTGCCCTTCTTCACCCCCACTCATCCAATTTTTTTTTTTCGGGGGGTCGAGGAGAGTTTTTAAGACTGTTGTATTTTGAAGTTCATGAGTTCAAACTGGTGGCTGACGCTGCTGTGAAGATCGGAGATTACATTTTTATGGGTTGAGATCTTTATTGGCATCTACCGAAAGCCAATAAGGTGCAGATGAAGGGAGGCAGTGAGCTGGTATTGTGTGTTTTTAATAAAGACACAGGTGGTCGATCTTAGATTTCCTTTGGCTTTAAATGCACGTCATATAAATCAATCAGATTATGTTTTTTATGATCTGGCTCCCATGGTTTTCTCTTAAAAATCATCTTTTTTTCCTCCGCAGGCTCGATGACATGATGTTCCTACCCTTTTCCCCTCCCCCCTCCACCTCTTTTTTCCCCGTTTTCCTTCTGCTCCTCCTTTTCCTCCCTCCATCCCTTGTCTCCTCTTCCCTTTTCCACACCCCGTTGAGCTGGACTTCGCCGCATGACCCCTGCTACCATCTGGATGGCCGTCCGCGTCACTGCCTGTCAGAGTTCATCAACGCCGCCTATGGGGTCCCGGTTAACGCCAGTCACTCACTACAAGAACCTGACTATGACAGCAATGTCACCACCTTGACGGATCTCCACAACCCTCATAACCTCACCTGCTGGATGGCTCACAGAGGCACTGACATCGGGGAATGGGAGCTCACCGTTCCACTGGGCCGTCGCTTTGAGATCACCTATATAAGTCTGCAGTTCTGCCACCAGGGGGAACCATCAGATCCCATCTCCATCTCCATCCTGAAGTCAATGGACTATGGGCGCACCTGGAGGCCGATGCAGCACTACTCTAGCAACTGCCTCGGAGACTTTGGGCTGCCCTCACAGACGGTGGCCCAGACCAGGCATCAAGAAACGGAGCCTCTCTGCTCAGACCCTCGCCCCCTACAGAAGCAGAGGGGTGGCATGGTGCTGGCCTTCTCCACCTTAGACGGGAGACCATCCTCTCCCGATTTTGACCACAGCCACGCCCTCCAGGATTGGGTGACGGCCACTGACATACGTGTCGTTTTCCATCAAGTGTCAAAAGTTGCCAAGATGGGCGGCTTGGACAGAGCAGACGAATCAAAATGGCGTGACAGTCAAGAGGATCACAGAGAAGCTGGGCTGCTGAGGTGGAGAGCGGGCCACAAGGGCCGCGCTGAAGATCAGGTCAACAAGCTAAACACAGATAATGCACTGGGATTTTTCAACAGGGAGACAAAACACTCGAGGAACAAAGGAGAGAAAGTGGACAAAAATGAAAGGAAGGGTCACGGTAAAGGGTCAGGTCAAGATGAAGATGGACACAATGTGACCAGCAAAGAAAGGGTGGACATTTTTGGCATAGACACGCTTCCGTCTTCAAAGAAAGGCGGGAAAGGAAGAGGTCGCGGCAAAAAGAAAGAAAATGACCACTGGCTTCCTTGCCCCAATGGCGGCTGTAACTGGACAGTGGATGGGCGGAGCAGGGGCAACAAAGGGCGGGATCTGAGGAAGAGGAGGAACAATAATCTCAACATGAGACAAAGTGCCAGGAATCTGCAGGCGGCCATGCCCTCTGTTTTAATCCCTCCTGCCCACGCTCCTCTGGCCCTGTCCGACCTGCAGGTTGGAGGCAGGTGCAAATGTAACGGACACGCCTCTCGGTGCCGCCGGGACGACGCGGGACGGGCGGTATGCGTGTGCGAGCATCACACAGCGGGGCCAGACTGTGATGTGTGTGAGGATTTCCACTTTGACAGACCATGGCATCGAGCGACACCCACGCACCCAAACCCCTGTGTTGGTGAGTCAGGAGACCACAGTTAAAACACTAGTCGAGCTCATTCCTCCAGCAAGGCACAGCAGTCCCTTTACATTGAATATATTGGATATTTCATCCATCTTTATAAAAACTATTACTAACATTTCACCTAATTTGTTACTTTATGGATGAAGCATGCAAGATATACTGTAGACAAAGCTTTATAATCACATCTGAACCTCTTTTCTTTTTTGCTTTGTGCAGCCTGTGAGTGTAATGGTCATTCAAACAAGTGCCGCTTCAGCATGGAGATATTTCAACAGTCGGGCCGACGCAGTGGAGGGGTGTGTCAGAAGTGTCGGCACCACACGGCCGGACGCCACTGCCAGTACTGCCAGAATGGATATACCCGCGACCACAGCAAGCCACTGGACCACCGCAAGGCCTGCCAACGTCAGTAACTACGTGTGTGTGTGTGTGTGTCCAAGTGTTTATTGGGTGGTTACATTGTGAGACTGGACTGCTATTCCTGTAAGCAGTACGCACACAGAAACACACAGAAAAACACACACCCTGCTGAGCTGCCACCTGTATCCTCCATCGTTACCACCGGTCGGAATCTGCTGTGACCCCCGACCTTTGACTGGTCACATGTCCTAAGTGACTGTGACACTCTGGCATGTGGAAGCTCGACCAGCGCGGGCCCAATATATCCAAAGTTAATGGGCACTCTTTGAGCTTGACACGCGTGTTACGAGGAAAAATGAGCTACGGCTAAACATCTCCATGGGTTCTGATTTTTATATGCAACCTGCAAACTCACATCCTCGATCACACGGTCTCAGCTTTAATTTATCCAGGCTATATTTCATCGAGTTACCATTCAGAGGACAGCACAGATATGATTATTCATTTTCTCCTGTCAGGTTGTAAGGGCTCGTGTAAACAATACAAGTGTGAACAGAGCCGCTCGAGTGTGGCTTCCCTTTCTCTGTCTGCCTTCTCTCATCGGGCCTCATCCAGTGATAGCACTGGTAAATAAAAAGCTCTGCAGTGTAAACTATAGCAAATCCAGGCTGTAATCATTATACAGCATCACAACAATGTAAAGTTAACAAAACAGATGAGAAATGAATTTAAACACAGGCTCGAGCTGCAGCTTGATGGTTTTAGGCTAAAATCTCCAAGAACAATGACGGGAATAGGTCCAGGACTTTGTGATTCTACCGCTGACACAGTTTGGTATGCTGCAAATGTATTAGTGTTGTCAGGAAGCCAAAACAAATCATGTGTCGTTCAGTTAATACCCTCGTGGAGGAATTTGTCTTTGTTTACCCATCAGGGAGGCTTAAGAATATCTTTGTCAGTAAAGGTGTTTTGTCTCGCTCAAGGACGCTCCCTCGGGACAGATGCTCGCTGTCATCCAGGATTAAATCTGGGTACTGCCGTTGATGGATGGATGTTTTAATCCGACCTGTTGTACAGACGCTGTTTTGTTCTGTGGTCACAAATTTTAACACTCTTTTTAACACTAACATTTCTTCGCTTAAAATATCTTCTGCGTGTGTTTGCATGTTGTCTGCATCAGGACAACTCAGACAAATACACTTGCTTAGCTCCATGACTATTTCAGAGACTGAGATATGTTGGCAGGCTAAAATGTGCATCCACATCCTTTTATGACTGATGTGATGAAAAGACGCATTGTTTAATATTAAAACATTTTCAGCCATACATAAAACAACTACATGTGAGTGAGTGAGTTTGAGCCATGAAACATTTTATCATCCGTCAGCTTATTGTTTTGTTTTTAAGGCCAGAAAATTCACTAGTTTTTCACACCCGTTGCATCATTTCAGCAAAAACTAAAAAAGAAAAAAGAAAAAAGGAAATATTTTCCTTGTGTTTTCCCGGACAGGCAATCAGCCGGGGTGATCATCTGTTCACCTCACATAGCTCCAATTACGTCAAATAATCCTTGAAGCCACATCAAGAACCAGTATGATTGATCAAAACAATATGTATGCAGCATGCTCATGCAAAAACACAGCCACATTAACAACAGAAGAAAAATTGCCACTCTTAAATAGCATCGTCTCAAACTCACAGTGATTCATGAAATCACCACTAGTGCTGAGAGAACGGAATCTCCTCATCACTACTTCTTTCCATTTATTTTGCAATTTTCAAGTGAGATCAAAAACAAGCTGCACAAGCTTCGCTGCTCAACACTGTACGTGTCACTCAAATTGATCTTCGTAGAAGAAGAAACAAAAACAACAAAAAGTAAAACTTTGTAAAATGTTTTCTTTATCTTTTCCAGCGTGTCACTGCCATCCTCTGGGAGCAGTGGGCCGCTGGTGCAACCAGACGTCAGGTCAGTGTCTGTGTCGAGAAGGGGTGACCGGCGCCAGGTGCAACCGCTGCACCGCAGGATACAAACAAGGGAAGTCCCCTCTACGGCCCTGCATACGTAAGTCTACAGCCAATCAGAATCCTATAGTCAATTACAGATCTTTATGTAGAGACTTTTATTTTTTCAACCCTTTAGAGAGGCCTAAAGTTGATTGGAGTGAAAAGTCATGTCAGAGAAGCAAAGTTAGAGATGATGTTTTTAAAGTTCACAACACTGGCAGAGAGCTGGAGAGTTGACAACATGACAGGGCCCGAAAAGTGAAGCCAAATTGCCTCCCCCTGGTGGCTGGCTGCAGTAATAAGTCATAAATCTCACCTCCATGTTAGTGAATGGGACATGGACCAAACCAAAAAGTCAAAGTACATGTTAAATACAATTTTCTCAAAGATTGTTTCTGTCATTTTAGGTAGTTCTTACCACACTGATGTTGGTTCAAGTTTACATTTCTTCGCTGAGTTTGGTTTTTGGTTCGTTGTATAAAAACGGAGTGAACTGTAACGATTGACAGCTGAGACTGACTCGTGATTATTGGTGGGACCTCTGATCCCCTGATCGCTGCTGCACAGACTCTGGCTCCAAATGTGCAAGATGGCAGTATTTGTGTCCAGGATATTTTGGCTTCATTTGGATAGTGGCATGAAGTGTGATCCATCTTTATATAAAGTCTAGAGCAGGTCACAGATGCTAGTTACTCTCGCCTGAGTCAGGCGCTTTGAGTTGTCTAAAGTTAACCAAACATTCCCTTCAAGGGTCAAAAACCGATGGGATCATCAAATCAGAAAACTTGTTCGAGAAGGTCGGAGGACTCGTTCATATATGGATGATGAGTCTCTGTGTTTGATGCCCTTTGTAAATATATCACAGACTCTTAACACTTTGTTCTCGCTCATGACAACAAGTGACCTCATTAATTTCTCCTTCAGCCTCATTTGCTCGTGGCCTAAACGGATCAAAACCTCCATCGAGAGCTCTGATCCTTTATCAAACGGTATCTCATTATAAAAGGGGCCGCGGCGGTCCGGTCTAATTTGGCCCAATCTCCAAGCATGTTCCCTTTTCATCATCCCTGGAGACGGTTTCCATAGCGGCGAGAACATGAGCTGACCACTGCAGGGAAACCTCATCTCCAGCTGATCTGGGATGAGCGTCAGATCAAGTGGATTGTTGCTGCTCTTATCTCCAGCACCGAACCACAGCCCCCCGAGCGCTAATCCACGTGCGCTCGCTGGAGGCTAATCGCACAAGTGCCGACAACCACACAGGCCCCAACGCTGTGCAAAGCCCCAATCAGGTGACATAGGAAGCCAGCGGCGACGAGCTTCACACCTGTTGCCCGGCTCAGGACGCCCCCCCCCCCCGTCACTGGGCCCAGACTCATAACTCTCCCAGTGAAAGGAGTGAGTGAAAGAAAACCTTGTTTGTTTTTACTGCCAGACCATCTCAGGCTAAGTATAGCGTCTCTTACGCCCTCCCAGCGCCGCCACATCCAACACCACAGCTCCTCCTCTCATCAGACAGACCAAAGGGCACCAAGCAGCAGCAGCAGCAGCAGAAGTCAGGCTAAACTTAACTAAACTTAACTAAACTAACGTCAAATGCAAATGAGAAAATTTATTTTCTCACTAGTTGATGAACATGAACTAGATTAAGTTTTAACCAAGGAGGTTGTGTTTTCATCCTTTTGTTTTTAGCAGGATGACACAAAAACTACAGGATGGATTTCACGAAGTTTAGTAAAAGGAAGTATACATCCTTTATTATATATACTTACTAGACTGGGTCAAGGAATTCAATTCAATTCAAATCTAATTTCAGTGTGGATCTGGATCAAGGGGTTGATCTCGAATTATTTCTCCTTCTTTAACATTGTGAAATTTTCAACATTTCCCAGGGACTTGATAAAAAAAATCTGGCATGTGTGCAAGTATGTGCATTTTGTTTCAGATCAAAATCAAAATCTGGATTTAGGGACTTCAAATGTGTTTTCAAAAGGGGCCTGATGAGTTTTTCCTGAATTAACCAGGAGATTAGCTGAGTTCTGATCATGTTCTGTTGTTTATGTCTGATGCTGGATTTGAAGTCATAGTTTTTCCCATTTCATGCAAAAACAATTTGATAAAGCTTCTTGTGTTTAGATTGAATTTGTAAACCTGATTGTTTTTTGAGTCTAAACATTCAAAGTGTAGTTTTGGTATTTAGCGCATGTAAATATTTGAAGCGATACCGAGCTCTGTGCAGACATGAGCCCTCGATTTCCTCATCACGACCTCTCACATACAGAGTGTGTTCCTACTGTACATCCACAAACACACAGCGACTTCCTGGCTTTTAAAAATGGTTGGGGGGGACAGTCAGCTGGACGGGGGTGTAGGGTGTCACTGGCCCAGTTGTGTCAGCGAAGACAGGACATGGACAGCGTGAGCCCGGTGTTATATGGCTGCACTTTTACAAGAGGCCTGGATAATGTATGTGCGGAGCAGCAGGTTGTCTCCCCCCACCACACACACACACACACACACACACACACTCACACACAGAATCAAACAAACTTTATTAGACTCTGTTAAATGTTCCAGATAAAACCAAACAAGGTGGAATAACAAAAAGTTAAGCTTGTGTCTTTGTGCGCTCAGTGTGAGTCAGTGTGTGTGGATCTGGGCCGTAAAAGGACCGCACACACAAACAGTCTCACACTTGCTTATCTTCTGCACAGGCATGTCTCACACACACAGGCATTTGAGCGTAACAAACATAACACACACACACACACACACACACACACACGATGGCATCAGCCTGACAGCTTCCTGTGTTTCCTGTCACCTGTCTGAAAGTGTGTTTATGTTTTACAGGAATTCAAGAGGTCGCTCCGACCCCAGCGTACCAGCCTCAGTACAGCATCGGTGAGTAGACGTGCAATAAGTACCTTTCATACTGATCGTTGCCTGTGTCCTTTAGACCTGATCTCATTCCTATTATTTTATTCCTGTGTCTAATATCTCTAAATGTATTTGATCATTGCGGGTAATGTTTCTCAGCCGAGCCCCCAGTGCACGATAGAAAAAGTTGGCAACCTGTCAGGACAATCTTTCTGTTATATAATCTATATAATCATTCTATTTAAAATGCCGTGGTTGACTCTGTTTCGAGTGGAATAAAGTTTTCTCGCTCTCTCGACCTTTGACCCCATTGATGTCACATCATGTACGACACACAAATTACAGCCACTTCAATGGAATCATATATCAAAACAGAAATCTTCTCTCGCCTTGGGTCACGTTTGGTTTTGAACAGATGGGACGTTCAGCGGAGCGGCTCGTCGCGGGGTAGCCGAGCACCTCCTCCTAGTGGCAGCTCCAGGAATGTCCCACCTGCTGCACTCGACGGTCATCTGTTAGTCACTGGATACTGTGATGACAAATAGAAGCAGCCATATTGTAATTAGGGGAAAAGACATGTGCTGATATGCTCGCTATGACATGATACCCTCTCATTTGATGCTCCCTCCCTCCCTCCCTCTCTCTCTCTCTTAGCGGAGGAGTGTGTTTCATACTGCCAGCCGTCTCAGGTTAAAGTCAGGATGAACTTAGAGACCTATTGTCTCAAAGACTACGGTTGGTGACCTTTTGTATTTGACTTTAAACAATAATAATAAAAACATTAAATGATTTAAAACATGTATTTTGTTGTGTCTCAGTGCTGAAGGTGCAGGTGAGAGGGATGGAGCGTTCAGGTCCCTGGTGGCAGTTCTCCATCTCAGTCCAAACCGTCTACCGTACGGGCTCCACCTCCCGCGTTCGCAGGGGCCCCCACTCCCTCTGGGTCCCCGACCGCGACCTCGGCTGCGGCTGCCCCGCCCTACACGTGGGTCGGACTTACCTCCTGATTGGCGCGGAGGAAGGAGAGCGGGGCTGGGGCCCAGAGGAGAGTCGCCTGGTGGCGGACCGCTCCACTCTGGCCCTCCAGTGGCGGGAACACTGGAGCCCCAAACTCAGGGGCTTCCGGGGCCACGACAAGAGAGGGCGCTGCCCCGCAAAGTCCCCCAACAGCCAACGCAGGGAGCAAACAAAACCACAGGCTGGGTACATCCCCCCCCACCTGCTGACTGAGAAAGACACAGACAATGTGAACACACACTCTGTCAAAGTGGACAAGACTCAAACCTTAGCAGAGCCGCACACACACCCTCCCACAGAGATGAGCCCGTCCCCCTTCCCGGCTCTGGTCTGCTCCACGCCACTTCCTGAGTGAGGGCTCCACCTTACCCCTTCACCTTTCCGGACTTTTTTCAGAACGACAATTTTTCAGACTTTCTTTTTTTTTTTTTAGAAAAAGTGAAAACAGGACTTTAAAAGAAATTGTTCACAATCTGATCTAAAATGTGAAGAACCATGTGCATCTGTTGTGTTTTGTTTTTGGACGGTGAAGGTCAAATTCACGATGCAGCAGCACAAAGTGGTAAATGGTGAAAAGTCCACAGCAAACAACAAAACAATCATATTAATTAAAAGGATTTTAATTCTTTCTACTAGAGAAACTCAAAAATGAAAGGACTTTATTCTGACAGAAAGGCTGAGCAGTATTTTCTTCTGAATGAGATTGTTTGAATCATATTTAATTTTAAGATTTCTTTATGTAACACACACAAAACTAAATACACACACAAGGGTAAATATTCTACCTCACATTTTTTACACACAGTTGTAACCAAAGCTTATTCATAAAGGTGAAATCCTGTTATATGAATCATTTTCTGCTAAGTTTTAATAAAGAGTTTACTACAAATAAGGCCAACACTATAACTTTGTTTTAAAATTTGAAAAAGATAGAATCTATTGAATTTAAACAAAGAGAATATTTTAAATTGACAATGAAACATACAGAACTTTGACATAGTTGATATTTAACATCTAGAGAAAGTTCAGGGTACGAAAACTATTATTTTTATAGCTATAGATAACTTACCCCAATGCAGCCAGTCAATATAAAAAGATAAGAAACCTTCTGAATACTGCACTAATACTTTGTGAAGTAATATTTCACAAATACTAATATTTCATATGTCACGTTTATTTTAAATGAATTTTCCTGTTTTTATTTAAAAACCCTCTGTACCTGAAATTGTGCGTTGTTACTATGTTCACAACACAAATTCTTTTTAATATAAATTAGCTGCTTTTCTTTCACTTTATTTAACTTGTGCATTTATTTGAAGTACTTTGGATAAAAGTACTGCAGTTCTAGGTCACACACACACACACACACTTTGCTTTCATTCTGTACAATATTTGGGAAAATTGACACTATCTACGATCTGCAGCCTCGATGCACAGCTGACGCATGAGACCAAACTGAGCTCAGCTGTATTTTCTAACCGTACAGGAATCCTCAGAGACACAGTCACAGGCCTCGATATGGATCTGAAAAGCATCGGTCTGACCTGTCGTCATGGCTTCTGTTTCCATTTGGGAGATATGGCGTCATGGCCCAGGGGACCTGCTGGAGCTGGAGGTGTAATGAGACAGATGGAGGAGCTGCGATTTGTTCAGCAGACACGTTGTTTTGGTGGCGGCCGGGTCAGTGATTGGCTGAGGCTGAGGCCGGAGATCGAAAATGAAAAGAGAAAAATAGACTCGCTGACTGATGAATGCTCAGATGTGTGCGTGTGTGTGTGTGTGTGTGTGTGTGTGTGTGTGTGAGAACAATCCTGTTTTTTTAGTTTTCACTTTAACAAAGTTGTAAGAATGGAACAGGACAGTGTTTCTAAAGATTTAATATATAATCTGGTTTGACAAGAACAAATATGGTAAAAAGCTTTTGCTGGGAAGTAGTAATCGAATGACAACATGAAAATATACAGTAATTCAAATAAATGTGTATCAAGAAAAAAGATGTTTATAAAACAACCAATTATGGAAAACAGTCAGGTTAAAGGTTGATTTTTAATACAAATACTATTATAAATGATTGCATAGTAATTGTACCTAGCGTGAGTCTGTGTTTAATGTTTTATAAAACTATCAGGATCGTTCATTTACCTACTTTTTAAATTTTAAAGCTTCATCCCCCCAAACATTCCTTAACCAGGTTGTCATGAAATATAAAAGAGAAACGTCGTCATAAATTCCAAATATTGAATAATCAGAATTAAAGACTTTAATTAACATAAAGAGGACATAGTGTGGGACATTGTGTGTCCTCTGACAACAGGAGAGCGCAAATAAAAGATAGTGAAAATCTAAATATTGAATATTTAATAAAATATTAGAGCAAATGAGACCGACAGCTTTTATATCACGACTTCCATTCATTAATCTATTGGTCTAATAAAAACTGTCTCTGTGTCAAACCTCCAGGCTGAATTCAATTCAGCTGCAGTTTGTCAGACGTTTTCAAATCCTGGCTTGAAAATGATAAATGCTAATTATTCGAGAGTGTGATGAAGAGGATCGGTGTCGTAGAAATACATTCAGAAATCTAAAGAGAAAATGATATAGTTAAGTCAATGACTAGAATTGAACTGATTTTATTTTTTATTTGAATTTAAAGCTGCTTAATAATTATTTTTATATTGGATCAAATGACAACGTGTGTCTAATGGAAGTTGCTCGTAACGACAAAAAAAAAAAACAGTTTCTGATTGTGTACCACTACTAACGCCAGTGTTAGTATATAGGAATGTGTGTGTGTGTGCACCTGCTGTGTAGCGGCAGGAAACACCTGTCAGAGGCCATCTCCTCGGCACAGCCCCTGTCGACATGAGGGTTTGATCCTAAAACTCCCCAAACACACACTTACACAGACACTAACAGACAACTTAAGCCCGCAGCTCTCTGCTGTGTAGAGGCAGCACCATGTCTGCGGCTGTGTTCACAACACACACTTTCTACTGAGGCGCTGCGGACGAGGCCGGGCCTACTGTGTTAGTGACATTGTGTGTGTGTGTGTGTGTGTGTGTGTGTGGTATTATGTTTACAACCTGCTGAGGGTACTTTTAACGAGAGGTGACTCCTCCTGCACTGCAGCCAGAGCCAAAGTTCAACTAGACCTCGTGCAAACACACACTCTTATTTTTATCCTCTCACTTCCTATTCATGCACACACACACACTTAGATTTGTATATCTCTTCCTCTTACAGTCCAAGAACTCCAAGTCCAAGTTCAGCAAGTTTCACCACCACACCGTTTTCAGGTTAGACACACACACACACACACACACACACACACACACACACACACACAGCTTCTGTTAACCTGAGAGGCGGAGGGTCAATCCCTGTGATCTCCAGCCTGCATGCCTTCCATACAGACACGCCGCCGACACAGCAACCTGACTCCCAGCGAGATTAGAACTAATGAAGCATGGCATGGCTCCGGACAGAAACCCCACGACACACACACACACACACACAGCTACAACACTGATATGCTGTTCTACATACATGTGCACGCAGGGAGCTTCTGCTGTTTTAGATTCCCTATGAGAATAACTGCTGAAGATAAGTGTTGTTTTCAAGAGTCAAACCACCGAGCGTTCACAGCAGCACACGGCCTTCACATCACATTTCACTGTGTATTTGCTCAAAGTCCAAATCGTTTATTTTACTGTCTGTGTGTTTGTCAACAGGATTACACAAAATCTACTCTCTGGATTTCCACGAAACTTGGCGGACGGACAGAACCTGTTTTTGTGGGCATGAGATGAGACACTATTTGACCAGACTGTTATTTTGATGGTTACTAGCAGGACGGAGGAATTCATCCTGCTGCAGCTCAGTGTGTGGAAACCAAACCGCTGATGAGTCAGCACAGATTAAAACATGGATAAAATACAAGAATATAAATATAGAGCAGAAAATCCACTGAAGTTAGAAATCCAAGATAATAAAGACTTATTTAATCCAGCTCAACAAAAATATAAATTTATGTCTGTTTGCAAAAATCTAAACAATTTAAAAAGTTAGATGAAGTGTGAAGACGTTTGTTGAATCATAAATAAAATAGATTGCATTGTTCTGTGGAAACATAACTGGAAAATTGTAATTTAATGAGTTTAATGTCTCATTAGTGAAACTAAGGGCAACGTTTTTTCATAAAACTAAGAAGTCTTATTTCAAAAACTCCCAAACAAGAAAAGATATAAGATAAGATATAAATATCCTCACACTCAATGACTACCACAAAGAAGAAGTGTTTTTAAGTTCCTGTATCGTTGATGAGATGATAGGAAATTTAAATCTGTGGAACTCGTGCTGTCACAGGACCAGAATCCGACTTCTCCCGTAAAAACTTTCCCACCAGTCCCAGGTGTCGACCAGTCGTCTGTTCCAGTCTTTAGTCACAAACGGCTCCGGCCTTCCTCGGCTTTGTAGTCTGCAATGGGAACCTCATTCTGTCTTTGTAGTCGTCGAGCGGAACCTTATTTTGGCAGCCACCGTGTTGGAGGGGACAGGTGATTTATGACGCCGCAGGGCAACAGGCTGATCCCACCTCCTCCTTCCAGTTTGAGACCTGTTCTGGATGTTGTTATGGCGTCCACGTACAGTGTGTTTGTACTGGGAGGGCCGGGCTGGACTGGGGGTCCAGGATTAGCGATCAAACGACTGAGGGGGGTTTTGGGGTAAAAGGTTGGGGGGGTAACATTACCCCGGCCTGCCCAGGTGGCGAGGCTGAAAAGAGACTCCCATGTGTGGTGTGGATGGGTCGACCGCAGGCCGTGTGTGTTGGTTTTCAACTCACCGTGTGTGTATGATTTTTATGGGGCGTGCACTTCGTGTTGAACTCCGTCTAGTTGGATTTGAACCGTAACTGATTGGATTTCAGGCTCGGGGAGGTGACCTCTGACCTTTTTACAACATCTGCGCCCCTGATTTTTCCTCAACCACATTTCAGCGTCACGTTACTCCGAGCTGCCCGAGTCCATCTGCTCTCTGAGGAGGCCTGGGTGCAGATATTAAAAACAACACGTTACGGTCAGTGACAGTCTGTTGATCAGGTGGTTTCATTCACTTCAGATCAACATTTATTGTAGATAATAAGACAGGAAATGTACCGAGTGGAAACTTTTTCTCAAAGGCCGTTTCCAGGTCATAAATGCTTTAAACTTTTAAGCCGACAAGGATGAAAAGTCCACAGAGCCCAAAAAAACAAAATCATTTTCATTTTCAAGACAACTGGGCTGTTTAAAATATATGATTGAAAGTTTAATGCAGCTTCTACAGGGACTGATTATTGTAATTCAATAAAAAAGGACTTTGGGGAATTATTGCAGCATATAAAAATAGTTTTTAAATGATTTCACATGTCACACTGTATTTATATAATTGTAAATTTATTAAAAAACAGAAAATGTCAGCGGTAACAAAACAAACCATATATTTGTCAATAAATATATTTATTGTCCTTACAGAATTTTTTTTTTTAACACAATTTGAATTTTCTTGCCAGCCGAGACAGTGAGGGTGGTCTCACGTGTGGGTGGCCTCATCATCGTCTTCAGTGTCATGTGGCACAGAGATCTGGGCTTCAGGGAGGTTGTTGCACTGCAGGTAGCAGAAAACCACCTGGACCTGAAAAACACACACACACACACACACACACACACACACACACACACACACACACACACACGTCAATTAAATGTTTAAACCAAAGCATAATTAAATACAGAAAAGTTGAGAACACCCTTTGTGATACATAACACATTTTTTAAGAACTGTTAAGAAACATAATTAATTAACTTATTTCAGATAAATCCTTTTATTTACCTATCTATCTATTTCCTATGCATGTTCATATTATTATACATTTTATTATGAAAACAATGTATTTCCCTGTCATAATTTTTTGACTTTGTGGGGAAGACATTTAAATCTTTGCATGAAAAAATAAACATCACAGAATAATTAACTGAATTAATTAATGAATGAATACATTTTTTAAAATGATTGTGTTTTGATTGTCTGGAAAACCTTCACTAAAACATTTCCACTGCTTCACCCCCACCTGCAACACCACCTCCTCTGAGAGATTCACAGCCACAGGGGGGCGTAACAGGCTGGGACCAAACACTGTGGCCAGGTTCATCGGAGTCATCCTGTTGATGTGTTGCCTCTCAGAGACTCTGAAGAAACACGGAGTAGAAAAACACGTTAAAACATTTCAAGTCGAACCATCAGGTGAGATCACGCGGCGCTGTCTGACTCAGACCGTTGCAGGTGGTGCATGAGGTAGAGGAAGGTGCAGCGGTTGGTGTCAGGACAGGACTGCAGCAGGGACAGCATGGAGACGAGCCGGGCGTTCATGTCCTGGATGTCTGGAGGGGAAACAGTAAGGCCTTTATAATTCAGCCTGTATCTTTAAATCTTATGTTGACAAGCTGCCTGATCTTTCTCTAAACAAATATTTTCCGTAGAGCCCGGCTGATAAGAGAAAATACAGATGTCTCACAGATAAAGATATATTACAATATAAAAAATTGTCAATGCTTCCCAAGAAGTCTATCTCTTCCTCATGACATAGAAATGTGACAAATAGAAAGAAAACACAAACAGAACCAAATATATAGAACTTAATAACACAGAATCTATATTTTGTGATATGAAGTTCGATTTAGTCTGTGTGTTATTTGATGGATTATCCTTCAATTATAATGACAAATTACTTACGAAGAAAATTAACATTTGATTAATGCCGCTGAAAAAATACCCAAATAGTGAAGTATTTGTGATATAAAAGTATATAAAGTATCAGGGCTTATAACTGTCTATATAAACATGGAAGCTCATAAAGTGGAAGCATGAATCTTTCAGGTTTAAGTGTTTCTTACCCAGCGACCTGGTCAGACTGTGGAACAGCTCAGAGGGTATGAGCGGCTCAGGCAGGTCTCTGAAGTACAGTTTGAGGACACCAGAGACGACGTTCACCTCGGAGCTTCTCAGCCTGTGTACAGCTTCACGCAGATCTGAAACAGGAAGACGAGGATTACTTAGAACTGCTCCTTCTTCTGGCTTTTTGCATAGTGGAACAGTGGCAATGAGATCCTGCCGATACACAGGCAGGATCGCATACGAAAGCTTCAGTTTCATCTTCTTTGCATTGTATTTTGGTCCATATCCCATTTGTTAACATGGTGGAGGTCAGGGATTATGACTCATACTGCAGCCAGCCACCAGGGGGCGATCAAGACACAGTCAATGCTAACATGCTTCAGCAGATTTAAGTGCTTTTATGCCAACAGATGCTAAATAGCATTCAACATGTGAATGTTTCCACCAGTTTCCATGGAAATCCAGTGGTTGTGCCTCAGCGTGAATTTGACGTAAAGCACCTGTGAATTAATTCCCAAAGCGTCTTTATGGCTATTTGCTTTAGTATGATAATGTGATACTATGGGAAAACTGTCAAGAGGGACCCGATTGTTATTTTGGACAAAACCTCATAGTAGCTCCCGACTTTTTGACCCTGATTTCCAGCATTTATGTGACGATCTCCTGTTGTTTCAAGCAGTTTACGAGTATGAATAACAACCAGCCTCCCTTTAAATACCCAGGAACTGATGATTGACTGTGCGTATCTTACTGCTGTCGAACGCAGCCTTGAGCGTGTAGATATCACTGGCGGTCCCTGAAATCCTGTAGATCCCCACCTCGTCCATGCCTCTCCGCTCCACCTCCTCCACACAGCACCGCACCACATGGGGAACCAGCGCCCCCTCCTGTCTGGAACAGAATAACAAGTATCAAGAATTAAAACCACCTCCTCAGATGTTTAACGCATCAGTTTGATTCATTTTCATTTCAGACTCCATTCTTGACACACTCCTGCTTCTCTCACGGTGCCACAAAATAAATCGCCTGACTTCCCGAAACTAGCTTCGTAAAAAGGCTCAGCAGGCAAATAAAACTTTAAATTGAACTGCAGCTTTAAGTGTCGAGTATTACAGACAGACTGGCAGGAACTTACTGAGCCACAGTTTCAATAGGGACACAGAAGACGGGGAGGTGTGGAGCTGTGGAGCTGGGCGGTTCCAGCGGGTGGGGACTGTACCTCAGGGACACAGTCACCTCCACTCGGCCGAGCTGGAGAGTCTGTCTCCTCCATCGCTTACTCAAGGATTTAGACTCCAGCTGGAAAAACACAAATACGTATTAAATCAATATGAAGGCAAATGTTTAGATTTATATCTTGGATCAAAACAAATACTTTGGAAGTGAACTAAGGGAGGAACAATGGTCTGGGGTTGTATTTTCCACATCTCTGCTTTTAAATAGACTCTTTCTACAAACAATCAACATGATGCTTCTGCAGGTAAAATCCTCAACCTGCAGCAGGCACTATTATATTTCCCCTTTTTTTATATATTTTAAAAGCAGCAACAATTATTTTTCAGCCACTTCAGGACGACAGAACACACAAACACGTATTTTATTTGCATTGAACCTTGAAGACACTAAGCTGAAGTTCCTGAACGTCTTCTTACCCTGAAAGAAGTTTTTCCCAGGACAGATTCATCGTGTTCGTCAGACTGACTCACACAGACCACCCTCAGGTTCTGAGCCCCGTCCACCTGGAACGTCAGCTCCTGTTTGATATGAAGGAGACATCATTAACACTTCAAGTCTTTCTTGTGGCTTCCAGTTGGATTTAGAGCAGGTTTTACTGCCGATGATCATGTTTAAAGCTCGGCCACTCTGCAGACACTTTAATCCCCCGTGAGTTCAACTGAGGCCTGACATCACGTCAGATGCTGTCTAGACACAAAGATGTCTTTCAACAACTCAGAATGAATCATCTACCAAATGTGTCCGACTGGATCTGACCACTAGACATAGTTCACCATTCTCTAATTTAAGGTTTCAGAATAAAATATGAGGATTCGTTAGTTTTAAAGGTGTCACAGTCTGACCTGGTCCCAGTGTGGGTTGACGCTGTGGACTGAAGTGTGCGTCTGGGCCTGTTTGTCATAGAACTCATGGCCGTCTACTTCCACACAAACATACACACCTGAAAAAAGGATCACAAAAAAAAAAAATCCATCACCACATTAACCTATTTTCTTTTTTAAATCTAAACTTTTGTGTACATACATACAGGCTGGTTGCTGCAGGCCACAGGCAGAGTGGACCGCCACGTTTAGAGTCCCACGCAATGAGTCTTGAGCCTTGTCCTCTACTGGTGAGACAGAGACAAAAATATCCTGAGCATTTTATCGTCCTGAGCTCAAGTGAAAGATGAGCAAGTCATAGCGAGCGTGGAAAGAGATCAGCCGTAAAAGCCGTCAGAGTCGTATTTGATTTCAGACACAGGATGTGATGTGGTTGTACCAGAGTTGGAGGTTTGCAGAGGCGGCTGCTGGGTCATCCTCAGTTTCACACATGCACTGGTGAGAGTGAGCAGGTCTGGAGGGACCGTTTCTATGTCTGACAGACAACACAAGTTTAAATTTTAAATACAGCAATGAGCTGTTGTGGTTTCACTTTACAGAGAAAAGGAAATTAGTGGAAACTTGAATAACACATCAAAGACCTGCACCAAGTCCCCCTCATTAACCCCATTCATTTGTTCTAGATTTTTATCTGGATATGCACCAGATTGGTTTAATTGAACATTATCACCAGCATTGCAAATCATAACAAGTATTAATATGCAGACAGTTTAATCCACAGACATATTTGATTCATGAGCTTTAAACCTGTTCGACAAATGATAGAAATACAGCCCTACCTAGCTAAATATCTAGCTGGATAGCTAGCATCATCATTTATACCATATGATGACAAATTATTGGTTAATCTAAATAAGCTAAAGATCACGTTTGATTTTTTATTAACTTTTTTTTGTGTTTTAATGAAAAACTGTCCACAAAAAAACAGAAGAGACAATTATAAATACAGGGATCCCTCAGTCGTATATAATTAAGTACAATCATCACTTGACTCAAGACTCAGATCAAGTTTAGTTAGTGATGTTGATTATACATATAAATCATATAAAGGCAAACAGCACATTCTATACACACCTATGACATCTCATTATGCAGGACACCATCACACTGACACCAAGATGATGTCATAATTAATTCATTGTATTCACAGATATTTTCCAGTTTTATCGAGCACTCAAAAGTTCTTTAATACAAGTCACATTCCCTCTTTCACACACACGTTCAGACAGCAGCCTTTCACGATCACACACCATTCATACAAACTCAAAAACATATACTGAACAATGCACCGTATCATTTTCTGACTACGCTGTGACTTTATCATGGAATTACCTATAATATCATATATGATAGGGAAACAAAACTCTTTGACACTGCATATCTTTTCTCCAAACCATTTTTTTGTTGACCATGACCTTTGACCTATTAGCTCTAAAAGTAAATTACCCTCCCGAGTAATATTACCACCACGTTTGGTGAAAACTTGTCAACATGCATTGTTGTTGTTTTGCACAAACACACAGAAATGGGCGAGAATATAAAAAAAATAACATAACAGAATATGTGTACAGCCAGTCTTAATGACCAACTGGCATAATGACATTTTCTACAAGAGAAAATCTAGAACTTACTCTGTGTGGTGAGCTTATGAATGGCTTCTCTCCATTCTTCAAGTTCATACAAGGAGGGGAAGAGGAGAGTGTGACTCTGCAGAAAGAAAACAGATTTCTCTTATGCTTTTGCTGTTTTTCCTTTTAGTAACACAGGAAGTTTGTGTGTGTGTGTGTGTGTGTGTGTGTGTGTGTGTGTGTGTACCTTTCCACTGGGGCTGTGCAGCTCCAGTCTATAAAAAGGCGACTGAGTGAACAGCATCAGCTCCGTTTGCTCCAGTTTCCTCCGGGTACGAGCCGCCACCATCAGGCCTCTGGATCCCTTCACACACACGTTTACATTTCATGTGTCTGTTTAAAAGGTCACACACACGTCTGTGTCTGTGTATTAAACATACCGCATGCTGCTGCAGCTGCTGCCGGAGAACGTACATCTTGTTTCTCACGGAGTGTAAGCGAAGACGTGTGTCCGGTTCATGATCTGAGGACCAGCGCAGTTTGAGACTAGCGAGAGGAAGAAACCAGCAGAACCTGTACTGGTCCTGCTTCCTGGAACACACACACACAAACTTATAGATGTATCTCATTCCAAAATAATAAATGTCCTAGGGGACATTTCTTCTTATTTTGAAAAAGCAAAACACAATTGTTATCATGCTACACCAGCATTAACACACACACACAAGAAAAATAGACAAAACAATCACCAAACAATAATTAATGGAAAAAAAATCAGCCTCAGAACCTGGATTTGTTATTTAGAACTGCATAATTATTAAAAAAAATTTACACAATTTACCATCACATTTATTATGAGTTGATCATGTTTTTAAATGTGCATCCATTGCATTCAGCTAATTGACTCCTTTCCCACTACTTTAAATATTATATTTCAACTATTTACCCGTTTACCAACTCACTAACATTTAGGTGTCCATTAGGTTATTTTAAACTTTAATTTTTGGATTACTTTTACTTTACTAGCTACTCTCAAGCTATTGCTAATCAGTTTTCATTCACCTCCAATACAACATGAAGTTTTCAGGAGTAACAACCGCCTCAGTATGAACATTGGTTTGATTTAATCAAACATCTATTTGTTAGGTAAAAGTACCCAGATGAGATGAAGGTGGATACACACATGCAGTTTTATTAATGCTAATGTGTAGACTACATTTCCCACAGGCCCTTGTGTCCGTCGGGGTTACACTCACCCTCTGGTTGCTGGTTTGAATCTGGTGCACAGCAGGAGGTCAGTGTAGAGGAACAGGTGACGCAGGCTGCGTTCCCCCTCGCTCACATCCACCACAAAGCCGTCACGAATCAACTGACGTCTCTGGGATAAACACACACAGATTATATTCTGTGTTATTCTGTTGCTTCAGATGCTGCACATTGTCAGGTGCGGGAGGACGTCTGAGGATGGGTGCACTTGGAGATGGGCCTCACCAAGCCGTGACTGAGCGTGACCTCTCGTTTGCACTGTGAACTCTCATTGACACCAGACAGAAAGCTGCGGGACAACCTCAGAGCTTCCTGTAAGGCTGCGTGATCCCCATGGCCCGCTGGCGTCGTCTTCAGGAGGTCCTGCAGGATCACAGAGAGGTCGTGAATCAGAAAAGCGGGAGGACGTAGTGGTTCTCTGCTTCAATTACACTTCACAACAAGATTATTTCATCATCAGCTGTTGATGCAAAAACAAAGATGAGCATCAGAGATAATTAAGAAGTTTCAGGATTCAAAATAAAAAATTAATGTGATTAAATGCACTTTTTCTCACATGCAGGACAAGTGTGGTCTTGGTGACTCTGTCCAAAGGTTTATACAGTAGAGCTGTGAAGGAAGAGACGGCAATCAGACCATAAAGCAGCAAACAAGTCAGGTTATATTAAATAACTCAATTTGTACCTTCAAATGTGTATTTGGTGCGAGCTTTGTCTGCAGTGTTGTTCGACATCATGCTCTGAAACACACACGAACTGGTGAGGATCACCCTGATACAGGACGACTCCTGTGTTTACTCTGCTTTTACTGTACAGCTGTTTTTACCTCGGCCAGAGTTCGGAAGCGAGGGTCCGACTGTGTGCACCTGCGAACAACGGCAACAGCTTCTTCATAGTTTTCTATGAAGCCACCGTACAGACCGATCTGGTTCACCTGAGTGACAGAGCACAACAAGGATCTGATGAACATGTGATTAAAACTGAAGAATGTATTTCTGATAGTTTGTGAAACCAAAAATTTCACAGAAAATAATCTACTACATTTTAAGTTAATATGCAAACTAAACATTTTAGATACACAGCAGAATATTTACACATAATTGTTAAATTTATTTTGTGGTTTCTTTAGAAAAGCATGATGGGAAAAAAGTTCAAGAACCACAGATATGATGAGATATTTATTTACCATCAAAAAGATAAAGAAACGTAGCATCATGACAGAATTAATAATAATATTAACTTGATAAATGGATGTTTGAACAGCTGAAATAAATATATTAATTTCCTCTAAATATTAAACATGTGCTCACACTGAATCTCATGATTGTCTCCTTACACTCACAGGTTTAGTTGCTGCCTGAGTTCAATTAGACAGGAAAAACCACTGAGGAATAAAGGACAACTTCTGTCTGAGGATTTGCTCAACAAAAAAACCCATGTTTCCACGATCGTCTCGCTTCTCGACAGACATTTGCACTGAACTCAAGTTAAGAAGAAGATCTATCAAGAGCGTTGTCTGTGCTCAGGTGTTTTATGAGTTTCCATCAGGACGAAGCCCAGAAACCAGGTGAGTCCAATAAGAGCCGTTAGGAACGAGCAGGTGACACTCATGACAACGGCTGCACATCGAACTTCAGCAGTTTCATGAATCTGTAAATTGCTTATGAATTTGTCTCCATCAACTCCAGAGGGAAGTATCTGAATCTTTAGCTGCAAATTGCTGCACTTTGTTCAAACTGTGTTAGGATGTTTCATTCAAAGCCACACAAACACTACAACCAATAGAAATCTCACCATTTTCAGGAACAGGTCCCCCACCGTCAGCCCAGAGCCCTCGTGGCTCCTCTCTCTCTGCTCATCCAGATCTGTGTGGCAGTGAGCGCTCAGCCGGGCCTTCAGACCGGAGTAGAAACTTTGGTGCATGTCTCTGATCTCGGGCACCTGGTAGAAAACTGTCTGGACTTGCTGACTGGACAGAACTGGCTTGGACGTCCCAGCCGAGGCCCGCAGAGCCTTCATGGGCTAGAATCAAACATTTTCAAAAGAGTTAAACAACTGAGCTGCAAAAGCAAAAAGGCTGAAGGCCAAGAGAAAACAGAAAGAGGCCGTGGTGATATGAGCATGAAAGGACTCATTTGAGCTATAGCGTGCATTTAGTTCCCTATTTTATCTTTGACACATGTACTCACGCTGCTGCTGAATCAAAACAAGAAAATAGAAAATACTTTTTCATGACAAATAAAAAACACAAAACGTTTGCATTCTGATGAGCTGCAACCAACGCAGCACTAGCAGACCCAGCATCAGTGTTTAGATTCAGTTTGACTGTATGAGTCACAGAGAATGAGGAAATTGGGGTTAACGTTGCTATTAGTAGCACAAAAAAAAACTGACCAAGCACTTCCTGCAAATACAGTGTATCTCTACTTTTATCAAGACTCTGCCCATACCTGAACACATTTTTCTGCTTTCAGTTACGAACATATTAAATGCTATGGATTTAATTTAAAGACGTGTCAAACTTAATCAAGTATTAGGTAGAAAATAATGAAACACTGTACTGTTTCCCCTTGTAAACATTCTTTATGCTGAGCTAAGCTGACTGGTTGCTTACTGTTACATCATATTAGATGTAGAAAATAATGGGGGAATTACATTTCCAATGGAGAACAATTGATTTAAGGCTCAAACAAGGAAGCTGAACGACAAATATGTTGAATACTGCAAATGACATTGACTCTGACCACAGGCACAGCAACGTGCATGTGACTGCTGCTCAAACCCAGTGAATACGTACAAAATGAGCTCCTGTGTGTTGATGCAAAGTCAAAATTACATCCATGAAGAACTGAAATGAATCAAGAGCGACTGCAGGCGACGCAACAACAATTAGATGTATATATAGATATGGAAATGTGGATATAGATGTGTATATATAGAAATAGATATCGGTGTTGGTTCATTTTTGTGTGTTTGTGTGTGTGTTACCATGAGCAGGGCCTCCAGCTCGCTCAGATAAACCTCCTCACTCTCCACGATGCCTTTCAGGACCACGAGCCTCCTCTCCAACAGTTCCTCTGGGCTGATCGACGCCTGAATCAGATTCAACATCAAGACAATTTTTGCCGTACTCATCCTGACACTCCACCACTTTTTCTAACTTTATGCAAATGGATTTTTTTTTTTTTTTTGACTAGTGAAAGGTTTCATTTGTGTACAACCGAGAGTGACACGTTTCTCCTGTTTGAGTCGGAGGGAACGAATGAGGAAGCAAAGCCAAACAAAATATAAACAAACACAAAGGCTTACTGTATTCCTTTTCTTAGTTCTCTTTTTTTTTAAAACTGTTTAAAAAAGTTATGAAATCAGTCAATAAAATACAGGTACATTCATAGTCAAGAGGTGGAAGATCTTTTAATATTTCTTTTGTAAATCTTATGCATAAACAGAGGACCTGGAATAGCTATTGTACAGTATTGAAATGTTTTAGGATGCATCTTCCTTTGCATCTCAAACCAAACACAGAGTGGCCTTGGCTGCCTCTGAGTTTTCCCACCGGCATCGTGAAAACAAGGTTTGCTGAAGGACTGAACTGTCCCTTAGAGAATTAGAGGAACTACAGAGAGACAGAGCGACGCAGAACTTTTTTGAAATGGAAAGAAATGTGAACTCACAGAGATGGCGGGGAAGTCCATACTTTCTGTATGAAGAGGAGACATTGTCTCCTCCAGGGGCACATCCTCCTCCAGGACCCCAATCTCCACTGCAGCACACAAACACATGAGTGATCGAAAACAACACATCTCTGCTTCCTCTTTTAAATATGTGCAAATTAGTTGTTGCTGCAAAGGACAAAAAAAAACTGTCTTTGACAAATATGGGTTCAACTTTTTAAAAAAACAACCTAGAAATAGCAATAAAAGTTCTGGTGTATTTAACATAACAGCAAATGTTCTTACTTTCCGTTTGATGTGGGATTGTGTTGTGGTTTCCCCAAAGAAAAACTAAATGCTTTTTAAATCATATTTTCCCTCACATCCCAAAACACAATGTCCCTCACCTGGTACATGTTTTTCCCTTAGATAGAACACGGCCTCCTCGTAGATGTCCATCAGAGCTCAGAGGTCTCGTCCACCGAGTGTAGGCTGAGCTCTGGACACGCAGCGTGTGAACACACAGTCACAGACAAACACAAAACTTCCTCTCTTCTGCTGCAGATGCACAAAAGAGGAAAACCCAGCTTCCTGTATGCGTAAAGCCCACTGACAGTGACGAGAGCTGGCACGTGATAATAATCCATTCCCACAGTTGCACTTTACTTCCTGCAAATGTGTTAATGTCAGCAGAGGTTACTGATAACTTCCTGTTATAAAATCTATTGCTAAATATTCTCAACAGCGCACAACAAAAATGTAGATAAGAGCGGAAGTGTGAAATAGTCTTTAACAGTGAGAAATGAAATGTTAATGACTAAACATTTAAACTGTATGAAGTTAGTTATAAAGCAAAAATGTGTGTGAATCAAATAAGCAGCAGACATGTTTTCTGAAACAGCTTTGTGATCCAGCCTCAGTTCAAATAAACCAAAGCTGCACCAGTTTATTATCCAGCTCCAACACTGCCCTCTGCAGGAAAAGAGCTGACAACACAACCTCTTTTAAACCTCAGCTCGTTTTGGATTCATTACTGAAGTGCATTGACTTCTGTTGTGTGTGTGATGCCTCAGTGTGTTTTCTCTTTCATTGGCTTTGTATCCAATTCAGTTTGAAATGTTTTACCTTTAAAACAAATGTGTCAAGTGTGCGTTACCCTTATATCTAAACTCATCAAACATCCATGGCTGCTTAATAATGTGGAGGCTTTGAAGCATGCATCAGAACTGCCACTTCCTGCACCTGTGGCTCTTTTACATATTGTGTGTTAAGTTTCTCTCTCCAACCCCTCCTAGACTTGTTCTTGTTGGTCACATCAATCTACGCAGTTTCCTGTTCCAGCAAAAGCTATTTGTGTATCGAACATGTTCAGTTTCAACATCATGAATAAATACAGAAGTGAAGTCTGGTTTTTAGCTGTCTGAGAGAATAAAGTGATTTTGTTGTGACAACGATGTGATGCCAATAAAGAAAGGTTTATTAGAGAACATTATTTTGCTTTTAACACAAGTTATACAATGTAACAGCAAAGAGCGTGAAGGACAGGAGGGATATGGTTCATTATCACATGATATAACATGGTCAGTCACAACGGTCCACTTTGAAACATCTGCCGAAAAACAACCGTGAATCTGTCGGCTACATCTACGTCTTCCAACTAACACTGACAGCAGAACATTGCAACTACAACTAGAAAAAGGAACATGCCGTTATTGTGACCTGGTGTTTTATTAACCCCCTATACATTGATGACCTGCGTGGTGACCACTGTGGAGGAGCTGGCTGCCCGGCCCTCCCTGACCTTCAGCTCTCGGTTCATCTGGCACCAGACGCACACGTAACACCAGGAGAGTTTGCAGCAGTCGTCGCAGCAAGAACCCTGCAGGAGGAAAGAAAGACAGAGGGGATGAATCTGGGCAAATGAACATTTGTTTCTAACCAGCCCTCAGTTGCTGTGTGTATTTAGGCTTCAGTTCAAGGCTGTTTGAGCGATGGGGTAAATTAATATTTGTTTTTGTCAAACCATGACTACGTAATTCAAACATTGCAAAAACAATGTTTGAATGCTCTGAATTTGAATCCTAGCAGCTATTGATCACATTTCAAATAAGATCTCAGGGAGTTGTGTTTTTAGTTAAATAATAAAGGGAGTCAGGTTTGTTTAAAATTATGTGGTGGATGTAGCAGGTTTTTTTTTTTATCTCTTGTTATTTCCAAATTCAGAAAGCTCACAGTTCCTCTTGACAGATGCAAACTGTGCAGTTATCTGATAGAGAGACGATTGAGGAAATGAATGATATGAAACTCAGTGCTAGTCCATAAAGACCTGCAAAAACAGCCTTTACTGGATGTCAAGTACATAAAAGTCCCTAATTTTGTATTACTGAACTACAGATGTTAAACTACGATCTTTAACCCAAATTTCCAGGAATAAAAACCCTAAAACTCAACGTTCAACAGAAATCAAGATTCTATCATCTATGATATAATTGTTTTTCTCACTCCCATCTATCGGGCCTGAGGTGAGTGAAAAAAAAAAAAGTTCCAAATTTAGTTGAACTGATACTAAAAAAAAAACAAATGTGTGATTCTCACATTAGCGTCTGGGGCGAGACCAGACATTTCAAACAAGTCAAACTTGAGAGTTAAGGTGGACAAAATTCATGCTGTGAACTGGAACTGCTTAATCCAGAAGTGAGACATGAGACATTTCTTGGAAATACAGAGGAACAGAAAACTGTGTAAAGATAATCCCAAAAACTGGACTAAAAAGATCTCACGCTGTTCCGTCGACTCTCCCGGCTTCACATCTCATAACCGACCACAGAACAACACTCTGACATTCTCACCCACTCCCCTCATCAATGCCCCCCTCGTTCAAACCAGCCTTACAGGGATGCCGTTGCGCTCTCTAATGGAGGAGCGGAGTAAGCAGGACACCACACAGCAGCAGTCCAGGAGTGGCATAAGGCAGCACCAGCCGTTCATACTGGCTGTCTGACACTGCATGCAGGGGAAACACCACAGCCCACAGCAACCTGCAGCAGACAGAAAAGAATTCATCACATTTGACTTGGCATTAAGTTTTGTGTGTTTACATATCTGGAAAACTCACAGCGAGCGAGTGGGCGCGCGCCAATGGCGTTTATAACACATGCAACGGATGTTAAACTGGAAGAGTATAAATATCTCAGCACGAAAAAGAGGAGCAAAGCACGTAGAAGACGCAGGGGACGGTGCTTACAGGTGCCCATGTCAGCGCAGCAATCGCAGAGGCCGGAGCTCCATGTGCTATGGCTCTGGGCGTTGGTGGTGGTCACTGTCACAACCTGGGGTGAGCTGATGGGCATGGGCTGGTTGTAGATGGCCGGTGGCTGCCCGTAGGCGCCCGGTGGCTGCCCGTAGGCGGGCGGTGGCTGGTTGTAGGCGGGCGCTGGCTGGTTGTAAGCGGTCCCAGGCTGCTGGTAGATGGTCGGGACCTGGCTATAGTTGGCCATGGCTGGAGGATACAAGATAGGAATTCAGAAAGTGGGAATGGGGACTGGTTTGTCACAGTATAAAAATAATCTCAGTGTTTTCTCATTCAGGTCAATAACAAAGAAAACCATATATCAAACCAAATACTTGGTGTCCGTGACTACTTCTTCCTGTGCTGTCGCGTTAAAGCAAAAAACCAGAGTGGTTTGAATGTGCTGCTCCTAAACTGTGCGATATCTTGCAGATCCTGCACAGATGAGTGGATGCGGTTATAGCAACATGTTGCAAGATTTGATATGAATCACATTTTATAAGTGTGGGAAAAGTTTAACTTTGCCTGCTGTTTGACGTTTCCCTTCTTTAAACTTCTCTCAATCTTTTACTCTTTTTTTTAGCTTGTATTCAGGATCCACTGATGGTTTACCACATCACTTGGTGGAGGGGTTTGGTCCCAGGAAATAACACTACATTAAAACACAGATATCATATAAACATCCTGAGCAAAGCTATCTAAGCTAATTTAGAGCTACAGCTTTTGGCTAGTTTAGCTAATTCAGGGCTTCAACTGTGGCTATCTCGGAGCTGCAGCTCTAGCTAGCTCTAGCTAACTTAGCTAAAGCCACATGTTGTAGCTAAAAAGACAGGTTTTGATATAAGTTGTTTTTAACACGGGTTGTCTCATGCATTCATCTTGTTTGCTCACACACTCGTTAGTTTTGATATAAATCAAAGAAATCTCATGATATTAAAATGTTAATGTTCATCCACTAAATCAGATCATTGGCCCTGATTCACATTAACAGTTTGATTAAATGTTGGTTCAGTCATATTAACTATCATGAAGTTTTTTAAAAAGCAACGTTAATAGTCCACAGAGGAAGCAAAGTGTGAATAAATCACATGAGGTCGAAGAAAAGAGGAAACAGTTCAGAATGCAGCTAATTGACAGTTCAGACTTTACTCTAAACTTTTAAACAAGAACTGTGAGTGACCCTCACTCTCTGGTGCGGTCACCAAAACTTTCCACCAGTGGAAGGAAAGAAAAAAAACCGCGATTCTCCGGTGAGACTTTTCAACAAGTTCACTGCAGGATCCGAATCAAGCAAAGTCTGAGCTAGACTGATGAAACAAACTCACTCTTACCTTTGGGTCTGACTGCGTGACTGAAGAAGTTAAATCTGTCAAGGTGCGAGGAGCTGCTGAGCAGTTCACTGCTGTGCGTGGGTGTAAGTGTGTGTGTGTGTGTGTGTGTGTGTGCACGTGTGCGTGCATGTGAAAATTTTAGTTTCTATTTCCTGAGAAAACGAGAGAGACAGTGTTGTTCAGTCTGAACAACACTGTCTCTCTCTGATGTGTTTTATTCATGATATTAGAATAAAACACATCAGAGGAAAGTGTTCAACAGGTAGTAAGAAGAAGAAGAAGAAGAAGAAGTAAAACAAGGTTACTTTCAGTACCAGGGATTTCTATTTTAGTTTAGGTATAAAAATACTTCAACTTCTACTACTAACTAGTTGTTGCTGTATTCAGTCACTGTCAGACTTTTCACACGAGAAAATAATATGATGGAGTTGTGTCAAGTGGTGCAGAGAAGAGAAGAGAAGAGAATAGTGTACACATGGACTTGAACTTGTGTTACCTATTTTGACCGCGTGATGGTGCAATGGGCTCACATAAAAAACGGAAATAGATCTAATGTTAAATTGA